CGGAACCACAGTCAAAATAACAGAAAATTTAGCAGTTTCTGCATTAAAGTATTAGGGGGCTTAGAATATGATATTCTGGAGGGCAAAGGAGCTTGGATTTCAACTGAAAATCACCTGTCTAGCAAAACTGAGTATAATCCTTCAGGAGGAAAAATGGATATTAATGAAATAGAGGGCTTTCAAGCATTCCTGCTAGGTACTTTCATCCATCTCCAATCCCTCTCTGCCAATTGGGGGAAAGAAGAGAGAGAAAGAGACAGACAGACAGACAGATAGATAGATAGATAGATAGATAGATAGATAGATAGATAGATAGATAGATAGATAGATAAAGAGATTTTATATATACACAAATGTACACATTATAGATATAGATATATAGGAATGAATGAAATTAGGAGATGAAACATATAGATCCAGTAAAAAGATAGAGATAAATGCAAGAAAAGTAGGCAGTATCAATAAGTGATCAGAATATTCAGAAAATCTTGAGGTGTATATATTTGTGAGCATAACCTCCCTAAATCACTGTCTTAATACAAAATGGGTGAAACTATCATCTAATTTTGGAAAAAGTAAGAGAATCACAGAATTTGAAAGTTAGAAGGGACCTCAAAAGTCATCTAGGCCAAACCATACACAAAAGGAAACTCCATTACAAAAGAATGGTCATTTACTCTGTATTTGAAGAAAGCCCTCCATGTTAGGAAACTCCATCACATCTGAACCATTTAATTTTTGAACACCTCTGATTGTTAGGATGTTTTTCCCAACTCACAAAGACTCCAGTGGATCTTTCATCTCATCAGTTTAGTAGTTCACTTCAATGATACAGGTCTCAAACCATCTGTGCCTACTCATCCTGTCCATGTCTTCCAAAAAAGTTACCAAAAGACACCTACCCAATGTGCTAGAGACCTTACTCCCTTCTGACTCACCAAAATATACAAGCAGCTCTGCCTGTTGACCTGTTGTGTCTCACTCTCACCATGTGAATATTTCATTTTCTTTTTCTTTTATACAATTCTTTCATAATATCTTTTGCTCCTGTTACTCAAGATTCCTCCTTCTTTATGCTTTATTTCCATTGCTGTCCAGGTGGCACTCATCTTTAATTCTTTGTAGGTAATGATATTTCAGATCTTTCCATGCTGTCTTTCCATTGCTGTCCAACTGGTACTCATAGTTAGTTCTTTGTAGGCAATGATATTTCAGATCTTACTGCCATACAGCAACACCAGTAAAAATATTTGTATTGAAAAATGGAAAAGCTTGGAGTCCATAAGAGTGCTTTGAAATTTCCCAAAAGCAATCCAGCCTGCTGTCCTCTTTGTTTTCAGTTCTGGACCTAGCTCAGTGTCCACCTATATTGCCTGATCCAAATATACAAACTATTAAACAAGCTATAGCTATATTTAAATGCATGTTGAAATCTAGTCAATAGACATTCTTCATCTATTTGGTCTTTCCTGAGTGTGTGAACAGACCAAACTCCTTTGAGTGATTACAGATCTCTTCAAAAAGATTCTGCACTGTCTTTGGCTTGTTGCAATCAAAACAAATAGCATTTGGAGGACCTCACCATCAATAGGTAGTTGATCTTCTTAACCTGAACTGTGTGCTGGATCTCCTCCATCACAGTGGCAAATACTTTTAGCAAGCATCTACTTCAGTATTTTAGGCCTCACTTGATGTTTATTATCAAGGGGTTATTAAATGGAGTTTTTTCTATTATTATATTACCAGGAATACTGAAAGATCTTGATGTGTGGATGAGAGATAGTCAAATTTTTTTTTCATAATCACTTAGTATAGTCAGTTATTACATTCTCTATACCTTTTGTTCAATTATGAAATGAAAAGATGTTGTCCATTGTTGAATATCATTTTCAAAAGCCTTCTTACTCAACAATAAAAGAGGCAGTTTCAAAGAAACCTGGGAAGACCTGTATAGAGTAAAGTGAGCAAAACCTAGAGAACAATTTATGTTATAAAAAATTGAAAAAAAAAAGTTAACAATTTTGTAAGACTTAAGAACTCTGATCAACTCAATGATCAAACTTTATTCTACAGGACCAATGATAAAGGATTCTGCCCACCTCCTGACAGAGAAGTTATGGACTAAATATGCAGAATGGGATTTTTTTTTGAAATGGCCAATATTTTTGTTTTGACTTCTATATTTTGTTTGATTTTACATTTATTAAAAGATTTTGTTTTGTTTTTCTTTTTTGTTGGGTGACAGAGTGGCCCACAGGCAAACTGGGCTAAGAGGAAGAAAAAAAATAAAAGTTTAATAATCAGAAAAAATAAGCTTGACTTTTAAAAAGCCTGTTTGTTCCCTACTTCTTACCTATGGTGACTTCAATACAAAGGTGAGAAGGGGTGAGCAAGAGAAGTATAGTTTAAGAAAAACAGCTGAAAGGAGCCAAAGATTTTTTTTTTTTACACTTCAAGTCCAAATTAGCCTCTTTTCAACTTCCACCCATTGCACCTCTAGAACCAAACAGAACAAGTCTTCATTTCTCTTCCACATGAAAGCCCTTCAGATACTTGAAGGCAGCTATCATGTAAATCCTAAGTACTTCCTTCCAACAGATCTTTCTATATAATGGACTCAAAGCCCTTCACAATCATAATTGCCCTATTCTAGACATATTCCAACTTATCAATGTTCTTTTTGAACTGTGGCACCCAGATCTCAACCCTAGTACTCTGGGCAAGATCTTACAAGGGCAAAGTACAACAGGATCATCACCTCCATATTCCTGGAATTTATCCCCCTATTATTGCCCTCCCACCCCCTACAACATCACTTTAATATTTTTAGATGCCACAACACACTGCTGACTCTTTGAGCATAGGGTCAAGTTTAGATGCTTGGGGCATTCCACTGGAAATGTCTTGCCACAATGACATTGTAACATTAACAACTACTTTTGAATCTAGCCATGCTAATAGTCTGAATCCACCTAATTATATTACTCATCCATATCTCTCCATCTTCTCCACAAGAATAATATGAGATACTTTATCAAAAACTTTGCTAAAATCTGGGCACCTGCATCCACAGCATTCACTTCATCTACTAGTTAATAATCTTATCAAAAAAAGGAAATGAAATGCTATTCTGCATGATCTGTTTCTTGAATCTACCATGATGGCCCTTTGTAACCACTCCTTTCCTTTTTAGATATTTACCAACTATCTCTTTAATGATCTGTCCTAAAATCATCTCAGGAATAAAAGTTAAGCTCAGTGGACTATAGTTTGCAGATTCTGTTTTCTTCTTTTTTGAAGATGGAGAGACATCATTTACCCTTCTCCAATGATGATGATTTATTAATATATATGTTGTATAATACATGTGTATATGTGTAATAGCTTCAAAAGTAAGAATTTATTTTCATTGAAAAAAAATGATGCAATGAAATTTTCTACCTTGGGTTCATTTAAATCATAACAATTAACTTGGTTGAAATCAAATCCACCAAGGTTTCTTGAAGTACTTCCAGTGAGTGAATTGCTATTTTAAGAATAGGTCCATTCTTACAAAAACCTCTCTGGTGCGGTTTTGCTTGTTACTTGGGAGTTCATATTTTCTGGCTTTTCTAGAATTAGAAAAAAAAAATAGACCAGATCAGAAACAAAGAGCATATTCAGGTTTTAACTCCTCCCATTTTACTCTATTTAAAAACAAACTGTCAACTAGGTCTAAAGAATATTTAGGAAGATCTTCTTGAAAGTGCCATCTTTAACTTCTAGTTGCAGTGTGAACAGCAACACGTTGGATAGATAAAGATATTTGATTCTTCAATTCTGAGTATAGTGAGAGTTCCCTTGTGTCACTGGAAATGAGCCAAGACCAGTCAAATGAAGCTATTATGTGGGGTAAAGAGCTGATTCTCTTCCTTAAACTTAGAATATACTATCTTCTCAACATATGATTTTGGTTTATATTTTACACCTCATTCACAAAGAATTACTGTAAAAACAGTTCCACACACTAGGCCATGAAAACACAGAAGTTTTGGCTTACCTGATGTCTCAGAATTCTGTTCTTCTAAAGAAAGGTGTCTCTGAATAAAAGTACATGCTCTTATTTTTCCCTCTTCTAAATTTGTTTTAACCCACTCTATAGAACCCTGCCAAATTGTCTCATAAATTTGTAGTTGAGCTGTTTGATTTGTTCCAAATGCTTTAGAAATATCTGTGAAGAATGTATATTTAGCTTACTGGCTTTATTGAGGCCTAGTTTCATTAAAATAATGATGATTCCCTGCAGCAAAGTAGGTGAGTGAGAGGCTCAGGAATAAAAGGATTTAAGCAGTGCTAATCATAAGATGGAAAATGAGCCTTTAGGTGTAAAAGCACCCTTACTGTCAAAGTCCAGAGGTCAAGTCAAGTTCAGAATAAATCCACAAATATTCCCTACAGCATTTTCAAGGTGACTATTTGGCACAAAAGAACATATGAATTATAGATTGTAAATTTAGAGACAATCCTTATTATCTTATCAAGTCTTTTATCTTTATGAGAAGACTTTCCTTTGTACTGTCTGTGGTAATACTAATAAAATAGAAGTATTGTCTAATCACACCAAAATCACCAATGAGGTATATTCTCCCTTATCCAATGCTTGCTACTTAGAATTTGCTTTGCTAGACGTTATAGTTGTTTGTAGATAAATACTGACTTTTAGATCTAGAAGCATTCTTAAAGATCATAGGATTTAGTGCCAGAAAGGACATGTAATTAATCTCTTTAGTTCAGTCCCCTCATTTTATATTAAACTGAAACCTAAGAGGTTAATTAATTTGCCTAATGTCACATAGCCACTGTCATAAATAGGACTGCATCCTAGATCTTGATTTCTAGTGAAATGTTCTTTCTGCTATATGTTACTATCTTTATTAGTTTTATGTCACAAAAAAATGTATTGTTTAGATTTACAGCTCTTGCTAAGTGTTCAATTAATTAAATGATTTTTTTTCTTCTAGAGTGACAATTCTCTAGTATCATTACCTAAAAGGATAGGAACAGATAGCTCATTGCCAGGTCCAGAGACTGTAAGTATTGCACAAATAATTCACTTTCCAGATTATCTGCTGTCATTTGGCATTATTTTGGGGGATTTGGGTTGTTTGGTTTGTTTGTTTGTTTGTTTTTTTAAGGGAAGTTGTTATGAGAGACAGTGTGCCATAGAGAGAGTTGGCCTTGGAAATTGAAAGGCCTAGTTTCAGGTGCCTCTGATACATTCTAGATTTTGTGACCCTTGATAAGTCTCTTAACCCCTCAGCGCCCCAGGCAGCTCTCTAAAATAATACTTCCCAACTCAGGTATGCCTATCCCCAGGAGCCATGAGGAGTTTGTCATGGAGGTAACTTTTCTTTATGAAAATTAATCTGATTTATTTCTTATGTGCATCTGGATGGTGACCTCTGGAATTTATTGGGTTGGGGATATTAGAAGGTTTGGAGTTTAGGTATCAAAAAAGTGGGAAGCCACTGCTCTAAAAGGGCTCAAAGTTGCAGAGAAGATGCCAGTCTCTATTGGAAGAAGGAGCTCCCTGCACTGATCAAATGATAGATCTGGTCAGAAATATAGTTGATGTGCAAATTTTATGATCAGTATTCATTGAAGAGAGAGATACAGCCTAGTATGGTGAATAGAATTGAGACCTTGTAGTCAGGAATGCCTCAGTGTAATTCTTGCCCCAGGCAGTTCTCTAAGACTATAAGTGACAGAGGAATTACAGATCAATATAGGCAAGATGGGATCTTCACACTTAATAATGAGATCACAGATCCTGGAAAAAAAAACCATAGATGTAGGCATATGATTTATTTTTGCTACTCATTACTAGAAACTAGCCTTTACATTCTTTCTGTTTGTCAAATAGAAATATAACCAACTTCACTATAAGTAAAACAACCCGAAGATAATTTTTTTACTGTAATAAAATTTCATTTTTATAGATATCTGTTTTTGCTTCCCCCTCTCCCCTGTCAAAATTTACTATAAAATTGTTGTCTATTTGCTGCATATATATTTTAAACTGAGTCATCTTAATACAATCTAGATCCTAATTAGTGTGAATGATGGATCTTGTAAAATGTTTGCATGGATTCAGATTTGTAATGCTTGAATTTATAATTATGCAAAATATGGTAATTGGTTATAGTAAAGGTCTGACATATCTAAAATAAGGAGTAAGACAATATTTCTAGAATTATGATTGAATTTTTACAAAATGTTTAAATTAATCTCCCTTTTAATTTTGTTTGGCAGTAATTTTGTTTGCAGTATACTGTAGATCAGAAGCTTAGGATGGAGTCATCTCTTCAATTCAAAAGAAAGTTTACCAAGTTACTAAAAGTCATAAAGAGTACCTTTCATATGAGTTGTTTTATTTTCTCTGCCTAGAATACAGAAAGGTTAACAACCTTTTCCCAGATAACTCAATTTTTATATAGGTCTTGCCTTGAAAATCAGGAAGACATTGGTTTGAATCCTATCTCTCACTTGCTAATTATGTGACCTATGGGCAAATCACTTAATTTCTTTTAGCCTCATTTTCCTCATCTGTAAATTGGGCATATTAAAACCTGTAGTACCTATCTCACAATGTTGTTGAGATACTCAAAAGAGAAAATCTCTTTAAATCTCAAAGCACTAAGTAAATGTCAACTATATTAATTATTATTTAGACTTCAAATTAAAACTTGTGATCTCAACTGAATGTTTAATCCATATTTAATTTCTGTTATAAGTGATTAAAAATAAAATAACTTTTTGACCATGTAAATTCATGATGAGAATTAGATAAGGAAATAATTTGTGTGAAGTCTTGATAACATTTTGCTTTTAAAAGTAGTAGGAAAGCAGGTAAGAAAGAAAAAAGGGTAAATATCCTAAAAGGCAAATATTCATATGATTAAATGGAAACAGTTCATTTCCAAATCCAAAAATAGTATTAAATATTTACTAAATGATAATTTAACTCAATTCATAGTTCCTGCCCTCAAGGAACTTACATTCTGCTGAGAGATACAATACATTAAAAAATGAGTAAATACAAGCTCATATGAAGTGGGGAAGAATACTAGCTATGAAGGAAAATTTTCTAGAAGGAAATAGCATCTCAGCAGGGAATTGAAAGGAACAGATCATTCCAGAAAGGTAAAGGTAAGGAAGAATAGTTCATTTTGAACTATTTGAGCCGATGAGAAGACACAAAGGAAAGAAATTGAATGCCATGTTTAAGGAATAGAAAGAAGGCAGTTTGGCAGAAATATAGAGTACATGAAAGAGAAAAATGTGAAGTAAGTCTGAAAAGGTAGGTTCGATTGTGAAAAAATTTACATGCCAAATAATGTAGTTTGTATTTATCTTAGCATAAATAAAGAGCCACTATAGATTTTTGAGCAGTGGAGTGATTTGTAGTCATAAATCATAAATGTGGAGCTAGAAAAGGCCTTCAAAGTAATCCAGTCCCCTCTTTTTTACAAATGATGAAACCAAAGCCCAGATGATGTAACTTTCCCAAAGCCACACAATAGTGAGTGGTAGATTGGGATTTAATATTGCAGTATGCAGACTTTGGTACTCTTCGTACTGTACTATGATGTCTGTAATCAAACCTGTGTTTCTGAAAGATTATTTGGAATTTTGTGAAGTATCAATTAGAAAAATTAGTGAATAGCAGCATAGAGACAAATTAAAATATTTTTGCAATGTTCATTTTAAGAAATGAAGAAGTCCTGAATATGGTGTCAACTATGTGAGTGGAGAGAAAGACATGGATGAGATAAATGTTATGGAAGTGAAACTGAAAACATCTGAGAACTGACTGAAAATGTGAGATGAGGAAGAATATAGAATCCAGGATGACCTTAAGGTTGTGTCTGGTTAATAGGAAGGATGATGGTGCTTTCGACAGAAATAAAGAAGTTCAGAGGAGGGAGAGTTTTACAGGGTGACAGTAGTTAATTCTGTTCTAGACATGTTGAATTTGAGATAGTAGAACATAGTAGAGCACTCCAATAGGCAGTTTGGTGATGTGGGATTAGAGTTCAGGAGCACTATTAGAACTAGAAACATAGAGTTCAGAATTATCTATTTAGGGATGACAGTTGAACCTATGAGAATTTATGAGAACTTATTGAACTTAAGAGAATTCAAAAGAGAAAAGGGCCTAGGCGGAGACCTGAAAAACACCCTAGAGCATGAGATGGCTGAGGATCCAGCAGATGTGAATAAGAAGAATCAGACTGCTAGAAATAAGAGAGGGAGAAAGGGAGGAAAAGAATGAAGAGGGAGAGAGAAAGAGAGAGACAGCCTAGGGTAAGGGAATGTCGGGGCTGTAGAGACTTCACATCGCATCAGCTGCGTTGGCATGTGGCTGTACTCACTGTGTCCCTGTTCAGTGCCAGTAATGACCAAAAGCACAGTGAAAAGATATGACTCTTGCTCCTCTCAGACTAGAAACAGACTGATGATGGGATGATGGTTGGTTGCTACAGGTTACATGACAAACAGGAGAGAGTGCACAGTGGCAACCCACTCACCAAGTTACATGACAGCACAATAGTGTCTAGTGGAAGGTGGGTTAAGTAGGGCTCGGACAAAGCGCCCATTACATCTTTACTTTCTTTTACTTACTTTACATTTTTCGTGGGCTGCCCAAAATCCTTTAGGGGTCCACAGGTGGCCCACAGCCATTTGTGCAGGCCTGACTTAAAGGATAGATAGAACTAGAATAAGGAGCTAAGTGCATGTCCACACAGTAACTATGAAGGAAAGGGGACTGAAATCTGGCTGCCCCTGTCCTATTGCCTCAGAACCCCCTTAGGACAATGATAGGTAAATTTCCCAATAAGGGAGAAAGATGAATCAACTTTACAGTCTGGCACAACAGGGACATTCACTATCAAATAGGGAGGACTAAAAAAGGAAATGATGGGTAAATATAAGGAAAAATGGTTTGAAACCATCAAAGATTTCAAAAGGAAGAAAATGTAGTTATACATCTATACCCAAACCAGATAAACTCATAGAGATGTACTAAAATTAAAAGGAAGGATGAGTACTGAAACTTCAAAAAATGCAAACTTTTCTAAATTAATATAAGACAAAGGAAATATAAAAAATGCCTGATGAAGCATAGGCATTGGTACATATATATAACCCATGGCACCATAACTACATGTTCCAAGGTGCCTCCAAAGAAAATAAAAATCATGAGAGAATGTTAGAAGGGAAGAAATAAAATTTATGGCCTTCACAATAGAAATAATTTTTAAAATAGAATAATTTAAATGTATAGGGGTGATGGGATTAAAATAGAGTGGTCTGTGAGAAGCCCATTATCTCAGGTACCACTTAAAGCCACTTTAGGAGACAATGAAATACTGGTAGAACAGTTCATGAAATACAAAACTTAAATGGGGAGCCCTTCTGCCCTGGGGTGAACAATGGAATAGATAATACCCAAACTCCATCCCTGATTACCTCATCTCTCCACCCCTTTGCCTACTTGTCTCTAAGTGGCAGGTTTTACTCTATAATAATCCCTAACCTCTCCTGGCTAGGGGGAGGAGGGGAGGAGGAATATCTTCCTTAATCTGCCTAAACTAGGGTCTCCCTTAAACTGCATCTCCCTTAAGGCATAAGGGGGTCTGCATGGTGTGGTGTGTTACACCCAGTAAATGCCTTTATTTGATTTTGAGATGGCCTGAGCGAATTCTTTTGGGACAACCTTGCACTCCAAAATTTTGGGGTGCCCCTGAACCTTATCAGTAGCAGGTGTCTCCAATGAAGTAAAAGAGAATAACAGAATTAGAATACAAATATAGTTAAGGACAAGTTGAAGAAGAAAAGCAAAAGGCCATAATGCCAAAAGAATACTTTATCTTAGCACAAACAAAAGCCATTGATCTTGAAGAAAGGATGCATACAATCATTGGGATCATAAGTCTTCCAGAAGAATGTGATGTGACAAATCAAAAAATATGATACCATAATGCAGGAAATAATGCAAGAAACTTCCCAAAACTTCTAAATACAG